TCACAAAGAAGTTATTTAGAGTTTCAGGCTCGAGTAGGCAGCTAGTGCTGTTACTGACATGTACTCGGAGATTTTTTAAGTTTCGGCACAGGACATTATTGGGGAGTGAGGGATCCAACTTTTTTCCAAAGAACCTGCGCTTTTCACGTTTAATTACTGAAGTGGCTTCATTCCTAACTACCATAAATGCAGACCAATTTGCATCTGAACCGTTCTTTTTCCACCGAGAATAAGCCTTTTTACGCTTTCTGATCATAGTTCGGACCGCAGAGTTGAACCAAGGGCACGATAAGGATCTGTTCTCAAAAGTGCGTAGCGGGACATGAGCTCTAAGAGCACTCAGAACGTTGTCATTAAAAAAGGCAAGCTTCTCATTCACTGTGCAAAGTCCCAAGCACATTGACCAATTAATGTGTGAGAGGTCAGTTAAGAGATTATCAACGTTTAGAAAACGGTAGTCAAATGAGATATGGTTGTTTACTAAGTTAGTTCGGTCAGAATTAAGATTCAAATCAAAATAACAGAAAATGAGATCATGGTCTGATATAAAGGACGGCTGATCAAATTTTAGCACACTTTGAGGGTCAGACACAATAAAATAATCAAGCAGACATGGACAACAGTTATTTCCATACTTTGTAGGTATAGATGTATTAACAAACGATAATCCAACAGTAGCGACGACATCTCTTAATCGAGAACTGTAGTAATCTTGGCTAAGCAAATTAACATTGAAGTCTCCACAAACAATAATATATTCATAATCAACAGAGGGGACAGAACATTAAAATAATCACAAACTCTACAACATTTATTAGGATTGTAAACACATGACAAAAGTATTTTACATACAGAGTTAAACAGCTCAACAAGCAAGTATTCAGTAATACCATCGATTGATTGATACAACAGCTTCGTACTCAAGTATTTTTTACAATATATCGCTACCCTCCCCACCCCTTTTTCCATTTCTGCCAGATCGGAAAAGTTTATAATCTTTAATATCATTGTGGGGGTCACTAATATCAGAGTTGAACCAGGTCTCAGAAACGCAGATTATGTCTACGGATGAAAATTCAAAAGTATTTCTAACCACATCCATTTTTTCAGGATTTAGGCTGCGCGCATTAAAGTGCACTATATTAAATCCGCTCTGGCGTCGGCATAACACATTTAACAAATTTTTCAAGACTACAGTCAGCAACGCTAGTCGATTCGCTGTTGTTTACGTTTATAGTGGAAAATAAAGTAAGCAACTTTAAGACAACAATAACAGACAGCGAAGTTAGACAAAAACAAACAGCATAAGAAGAGGTGCGCTATCTTAACAATATTAACAAAATATACGTGGTTGAAAAATAATAATAACAAGCGGTAACTAGTGAAACTGCGCCAAGTCCTCTCTACACATAATCTTTGTCGCCAAATTATTCTTCCCCTTCTCTTTCTGAACTTGTACATAGCCACGGACTGTGCGTACAGACGAGAGTTTACCTTGTCTTCGCATTCTAATGGCCTCTTGCAGTATGCGCCGATTCTCGGGAGTGAGACTCTCAATAATATGGAATGTACCATCAAAACCAATAGGCATAAGGGGGACCGCGGATTTAACTCGTCTACGGTACTCGCCAAAGGCACGTGCGATTATTTACGATCAAGCGGTGAGTGAAATTTTATCACAATAGCGCTGTTGCGGCTGGTAGAGGAGGGCTTCGTTCGAAATATATCGCGAATTTGAGGAGATACAGAAACTAGCTCCCTATGGTCTCTCGAGTCATCTAGTCGAAACGCTACGTCTTATATACGTTAACACTAACAGCCAACGAGCTGCACAACTATCTCCCTGGTGGAGCTAAAGTGGCTAATACAACTATAAAAGTGTTAATGTATGCGGACGATATAGTCTTGCTGGCGGAATATCCGCAGCAGCTGCAAGAAATGGTTGATGCATTGCACTCGTACTGTACACAATGGGCGCTTAGATTAAACTTAATGAAATCGAAGATCTTAGTTTTCAGGAAAGGTACAAGAATCCCATCTAATTGGAGCTGGAGTTATGGTAATCAGCTGGTGGATATCGTAAATGAATATAAATACTTAGGAGTACTTCTGAACTACAAGCTCTCATATTCCAAACACCTGGATTCTAAGCTTGTTAACGCTAAGAACGCCATTAACGCTACGTGGTTAAGGTTCATAAACAACTCAAGAATACTCTTGTCCAGGAAGCTAAAAATTTTTGATTCAGCCTCCAGGTCGATCATGTTTTATGGGTCCCAAATATGGGGCTTTGAAATATATGAGCAAGTGGAAAAGCTTCTACGTTTTTTCATAAAAAAACTTATTTTTCTCCCACCTAACACCCCGAATTATATGCTGCACCTTGAAACGGGTATCTTTCCGAAATTTTTTCATACACTGCGCTCTCACATGATTTTTATAGACAGATGTCTGAACCTAGAAAACTAAAGGTTGCCGCGAATACTGGCGGAAGAGACGCTGCAGAAAGCTACGTATTGGGTAAAAGGGTGGAACGATATAACAGACTTCTCTCCAAAGGCACTAGGCAGTTACATCCCTACCTTACTGGCTAAGCTTGTTGAGAATGAGTTCAGTATGTTTTTAGAATGTGCCCAAAAGTCAACTTCTCGTGACCGGTACCCAAAGCTTGGCCCATTATCTCAAACATATTTTAGTGATGAATTTAGCACGTACAAAATAAGCTTGATTTTCTGCGCTAGAGCGGGTCTCCTCAACCTCAACGCAAGACCTTTTAAAAACGTTTCTTCGGAAATTTGTCCAGTTTGTAATTTGGGGGAAGTTGAATGTATCTATCACTTTATTGGTATATGTCCCATCTATAAAAACATACGTCTGCTTTTTGGAGAAAAATTTTTAGATTTGGCGAAAGTCATAAGCATTTTAAATGGCCACAACTACTTAGCTTTGTATACGAATTTACGAAGCAAGCCAGGCAAACTATTAGCGCTATCGAAAAATTATGTATACTGCCGGCAAAAAGTTTTGGCACAGACATTTTTGCACAATATATGTAAAAAAATTTTTTTTCTGATATTTTTCCACCAATTTTTTATAAAAATATGGTTCATTCTACAACAAAACACATAACAATATAATTCCTAAACTTTCAGCAAAACTCACAAAAATTCAGCAAATGTTCATGCAAATTTTCAACTTTTTAATCAGATTTTTAAATTTTTTTTGGATATGCAGATTTGAAGTACAATCAGTTTTATTATAATAAAGTATAAGTTTTAAGTAGCTAAGAATTACCTCTGATTTACCGTTAACTTCGAACTTGCAGGTTTTTTACAAGAATTTAATGGGCTGCAGAACTGCATACTCAAAAAAAAATGCTAAAAAATCTGATTAAAAAGTTGAAAATTTGCTGAATTTTCGTGAGTCTTATTCAAAGTTTAGGAATTATATTTTTATGTGTTTTGTTGTAGAATAAACCATATTTTTATAAAAAATTGGCGGAAAAATATTGGAAAAAAAATTGTTGCATATATTGTGAAAAAATTTATGTGTCAATACTTTTTGCCGGCAGTATACATAATTTTTCTATAGCGCTTANATTGTTGCATATATTGTGAAAAAATTTCTGTGTCAATACTTTTTGCCGGCAGTATACATAATTTTTCTATAGCGCTTATAGTTTGCCTGGCTTGAACAAAAATTTTTGCACATATTGAAAAAAATTTTCTGTGCAAATACATTTTGGCGGCAGTGTACATCATTTTTCGATAGCCCTAATAGTTTCTGAGAAATCAATTAATCATTCCACATTTGTATGTAAGTGTCGTCTGTCTATGGAAGCTCTGATGTGAATTAGTCCCACGCATTCGTCCAATAAGTGAGATATTGTTGATTCTGTTGAACCGCAAAACGGACATGCTTGTTTATTAGTACCTCTTAGAAGATGGGAATGAGTGGATACGGTGTGGCCGATTCTCAGACGAACAAAGGTTTTGATTTTGTGGCACGCTATGTGTGGCAAATACTGAGGCTTACTTCCATAAAAGTTATAATTTCTGTACCTGTGTTGATAGCTGAGCCATGTTGAAGAAAATTTAGAAGTAGTCAATCTTTGTATAAGTTTTTTGATGTCCTTCGGGGACACATAATTAAACAGGTGTAATGGTTCATCATTGCCAGCCTTGGCTATTTTATCCGCATACTCATTGCCTTCTATTCCGACATGTCCTGGTACCCACATGATTTTAATTGATTTTTTATGTCGAAAAAGAACTTCACGCATTTTAGAAATTATATGAGAGTCGTTGGAGCTGTTGAAGAGGGCTTCGATGGTTGATTTACTGTTAGTACATATGACGAATTTCCTTTCGTGTTTAGAGGCAAAATGTATAGCTTCTAGTAATGCTGCTGATTCGGCTGTGAATACCGAGCAGTACATGGGTAGAGCACCGACAGAAATTGTAACCCCTGACCCTTTTGTTACAGCAAAAGAAGTGCTGGTGTTGGACTTGGAACCGTCTGTAAACATAAATTCCCACTCCGTCCTTAAAGGCTCAATTGCCTTGTTGTAAAGTTGACTGTATTCGATGGCACCTGTAGACAGTTTTGGATGCTCAGGTAAATCGCTTATGAGTACTCAACTTCGGCGTGGATAGAATATTTAGTTCCTTAATGTAGCTTACGATGCGAAAGATTGCAGATGGCTTGTTCGTCTGTGACTTCATTTGTTTACAGGATTTCACAGTAGAGAATAGAGTTTCATTTCTGCAGAGTAAGATCTTTGGTATAAGCATCATATAATTGTATTCTACCCTCTCTGGAATTCCCGGCAACCCGGCCTCAGCTAGGATTACTCTTATTGGTGAGGTGGGGAATGCACGAATGCTTCTGCTGGCTTCAGCATGGTATGGAGCTTGTAGGAGTTTTTTTAATGTGCTGATTTGCGCAGTGTCCGTATATAGCGAGTCCGGAGTCAATTTTACCTAATATTAGAGCTTTGTTACATTAACAAGTGTGGTTATGTGCACAAAAGAATGCTTGGACGATAAAAACTTAATGATATTTAGTCTAGAAATTAAACTTATAAGAAAGTCTCTTATCAAAAATTCTATCCAAAATTCTCAATGTGTCAGTATGGGGAATGGTAGTGATAAACAAGGAAAGGCTTAGGGGTGAACATTTGTGTTTTCTGCATATGTGAAATGAAGAACTTTTACTGACCGAAATCTGTGCTTCCGATGATTTGGATCAATTGATTAAGTCCTTTAAGATATTAGAAAAAACTATTTTTACTTGCGTTAGGTCTTTAATTTTTGAAAAAATTAGAACATCATCAGCATAGGCAAAATGATCTATGTGAGCATATGACGATATGATGAAACTTACTTTGTTAAAGGCTAATGTAAATAATAAAACCGAAAGCGGCGAACCTTGTGGGATGCCATTGAAAAGGGGAACAATTTTCGGACGACAATTATTGACGCGAACAAAGAATTTTCTGTTACAGAGCAACGACTTGATAACGTTGTACATTCTCTCTCCAATTTTCCAGCGCTTGAGTTCCGAAAGAATGACATGGGAGCCTATTCTGTCATAAGCATACTCGAAGTCCAAACTTAAGATAGAGACGTGATTTCTTGCCGCAAGAGCCGAAGAGGAGAAGTTGTCGAAAATTAATAAAGGATCTATCACACTCACGCCTTTTTGGAAAGCGAATTGGAGCGGGTTAATAAGGTTATTCTGTTCGGCAAACCACATAAGTCGTCTGGAAATAATTTTTTCTAATACCTTAGATATACAGGTGTGCAGAGAAATAGATCTATAGTTTGAAGTTATTGCATTGTTTTTATTTGGCTTGACAATAGGTAGAATAGCCGCAGTTTTCCACTCTTGGGGATAAATTCCCTGGGCTAGAATAGAATTATAAAGGTTTATGATTCTGTATTTAACGGTGTGGGGGAGATTTCTTAGGACGGGGTAAGGGATTTTGTCTGCACCGGGGCTTTTTCCTGCCATCGAATAGATTAAAGCATCAAACTATTCGATTGGAATAGGTGCATGTGAGTAGTATTGTTATGCCGATTCTGGACCAGTACCTGCACAGGTCCAGAATCGGCATGTTTTGCTGCTTGCACCGGTGCAGAACCGCTATACGGTTTGCTGGTGCTCTGCCGCAAGCTTTGCTGCTCCGCCGCAAGATGTCGCCGATTATCCAAGTTCAGAACCCAGATAAAAGCCGCAAGATGTCGCTGGTGACAAATCTGAGTCCGGAACCGGAACCGATCACAGGGTGTTCCGCTGATGGAAATTCGAGAAATCCGATACCATTCAGAACCGGAATCGATCACAGGGTGTACCGCTGATGGAAATCTGAGAAATCCGATACCAGGTGGTTTATATGTCGAAAATTAGTAAAGTGTGTTGGTATGCAGTCAGAAATGTATATGTATTATTAATATCTCCTGCTTTCTATAACAAAATATGAGTTTTCACAAGAAGTATGCTTAACAACTTTTCTCACTAAGTCAGCAATATTGAATGAATGAATAATGCTAGATGAATAAAACATTTAAATATACACATACTTTTATGAGCATTTTTTTTGTTATATGTTTATGTGGGATTCGTTATCGTCCACTTGGCGTTACTATACTTATTAGGCAAACAATGATGATGAAATCAAGATCAAGGCTATTTATAAATTAGCATTTGATTTGAATCATATAATGAAATTTAAATAGGATAATAAAAAATAAATATATTCTTTGACAGCAACATTGAGTTTAAGATTATTTCCACATTTTAATTGAATCATATTATGAAGTATAAAATAGATTACTAAAATATATGTATATTTAAATATGTTCTTTATCAACAGTTTACCTCAATGGTTCTTATATAGTTATGAAATATGTATAAATAAGCTAATACTGTACATTAGAAATTATTACTTTGTTTAAAGATACTTATAAAACACATCATGCCTGGAATCAATCGAATCCTCAATAGCGAGCATCATGGAGAGTACAACTTCGATTTCGAATTGGAGATGTTGTGCTTTGAAGACATGAAAAACCCTTATATATGTATTGAAGATGAAGATGAGGGTCCCCGGTTACAGGTTTTGGGCATCCCAGTCAGAGTAGCCCATGCTTTTTTTTTTTTTTACAAAAAATGGGATGAAGAGGATGACAATGGAAAATTCCTAACCGTTTGTGGCGGTGAAATTGAGGAGTACATAATGGAGCAACATCAAAAGCAACATGAATATGAAAGAAGGGGTTTGGATATTAAGACTAAATTAAAGTATTATAGTGAACAAATAGGGAAGCGATGTATGATGTAGAAGTTTATTCTAAATCATATAACAATATTGTATTTGAATATAAATTAACTGTTGAATTGGTATTTAGAAATTTAAAATTTAATTATATAGAACTATAGATTTATTAAAAAAAACTTCAGCGTTTATTTGAATATAATATTATTTTATATGAGAGTTATTTATGAAAATAGGCTTATTCTTAAATCGTTAGTCGTTGGAAAAGGTTTTATAAATAATATAATTAATAAGCTTCCTATTGAACTTCATTTGCCTAGTTATCAATTTTGTGAACCTGGAACGAAACTACGGAAACTTTGAGTAAGAGGAGATCGAGGGATTAATCTACTAGACACTGCTTGTAGAGAACATGATATATCATATTTATATAATAAAGATTTAGATAACCGACATATTGCTGATAAAAAATTAATTGAGAAGGCTTGGGAAAGAGTTAAACCGAAGGATAGCAATCTTAATGGGAAAACAAATGTTGGTTAGCTACAAATATAATGAAGACAAAAACGAAATTCGGTATGGGGAACATTTATAGTAAAACTAAGAAAGTGGGAGGAAAAACTGGTTATCATCTCTTCAAACATGCTTTAAAAAGTGCTAAACAAAATTTAAAGAAAAGTGATAACTTAAAAGATGCAATAAAATTTCACGAAAGGTTGTAAATAATATTTTTAGAGGAAAAAAATCTATAATAAAAG